TATATATATATATATATATATATATATATATATATATATATATATATATATATATATATATATATATATATATATATATATATATATATATATATATATATATATATATATATATATATATATATATATATATATATATATATATATATATATATATATATATATATATATATATATATATATATATATATATATATATATATATATATATATATATATATATATATATATATATATATATATATATATATATATATATATATATATATATATATATATATATATATATATATATATATATATTTAGTGTACATTGGAAAAACCCAGTCAGTGACCGTAGCTAGCAGGCCATCAAACTAGGAACTGGTCAGTAGTGATCCAGACACTGACACCAAAACTTCACCAAGTTTTTGTGCTCTTCTCCGGATGGAGCCGTGAACCCAAACACATCTGCATTTTTCTTTCTGGGACTTCCAACAACAGGTCAAATCTGCAATCATAGTTCTATGCATGTATAAACCAATGGGATGTTCTTTGCGTCACTTGTGCGGTCAAACACATTTATGTGAACGCATAAGAACGTCATGCGAATGTTTGCTTCATGTTGGAGGTGAACCTGGCATTAGCATTGCTTGGGTTGTTCTGTGTTGTTCCTATGACATCCTGAGTGACCGTTGCATTGTTTTTGGAGGTTTCTAGGGTGTTACAAAGCTCTTGGTGTTGTGGTTATACTATTGATCTCACTAGGATTTTGGGAGTTGTTGCTTTGTTGTTGCTGTTGTTGTTAAGTGCTTGTTAGTTTGTTTACTGTGGCATACTAGGTTGTTGCCAGTTTCTGTTTAGGCAGTCACAATGTTGGAGATATTTGAGGGTATTGGTATGGCATGTGTAGTTGCTAGGGTGTCCTTTGTTTCCTTATAAGATATTGATAGGCTTTTCTGTGCTGTTATTGGGGTGTTGCTAGTACCTTCCGTATGCTGGGTTTAAACCAAATGCTGGCTGGTTTATCTGTCGAGTGATCGGTGTGACCTACGACGCCTGCCTTGCGTGAAGTTGTGCATTTATACTTCTGCTTGCTGTTTGTGTTACTCTTCAATAACACTTCCAAAATGCTAGCTGGGAGTAGGTGGATGTGCAACAACCCTAATCATAAGTTAAACACAAAACAAAAGTTCTCATCTGGAACTCCTTCACGGTACTCGACACGTAAACACTCACTCCATCGGGCTTGCGGCTCTCAGCCATGCTGCTGCTTTACAGCGATTCCAAGACGACCAATCACAGAGCTTGTGCTATGCGTCATTGCGACTTATAGTTAAATTTTTTGAGAGGTGCACTTCAGCAAGGGCTATGCGAATGAATATTCAGTTTGTGTTTGGTATGAAAGCGTCATTAGCATTGCTTGGGTGTTTTATGTTGTTGCTATGACATTCTGGATGTTTTCGGTGGTTTTTAGGCCACTGCTAAACTCTTGCCATCATGGTTGCTTGGTGCCTCAATAGGTAGCCAAAATGTCCCAAACTCAGTTCTGTTTTTTTTTAATCATGTTTACCTTTTGGTACAGATTTTTAGGGGAAGAAGATGATTGGTCTATAAGATCTTGGCTAATAAATTGAGGGTTATGCATTTCCAGCATTCTGTTGAAGGAACACAAGGTCACATGGTTACTCAGTGTAAATTTAGCAGATGATTTTCAGCCTTTTCTTCTGCCAGATTGGCAGTCATTTGCTGTTATATGATTGTTGTCACCGACTCGGTCCCAGTCATTCCCCTCGCTGGCCAGCAGAGGCCACCATCTCCGGACTTCTAAGCATTACATCATCCTTTCACTCTGATCATGCACACCTGAACAGAATCCCGTTAATGACCCACGTACCCTTTATAAGCCAGCACCAAACGCTCATTCAGTGCGAAGTCTTGTTTAGCCCCGGCCAGCATTTCTGAGCGCTGATCCTGTCTGATTCCCTGTGTATTTCTCCAGCCTGGTTCTTGACTCTGCTTCGCCTTCTGCCTGCCCACGACCCTCGCTTTGTATACGGACTCTGATACTCGCTGCCTGCCCACGAACCACGCCTGTTATACGGACTCTGATGTTTGCCATCTGCCCATGACCCACGCCTGGTTCACGGACTCTGATACTAGCAGCCTGCCCTCGATCTATGCCTGGTAATACTCACTGTGTCTATCCATCGCCAGTCTCTTGTCATCATAGACTGTTGTTGTTGTGTGTGTGAATGAGAACTTGAGCAACAAATACTGCATAATGGATCCCTCCGTGTCAGTCTCCTCGTTACATATGTGTATTTAATGAAAAGCGTCTGTGCCTTTTTAAAAACCCCAGATTTGGTTATCTTGGAATCTTTTGTGTATTAATATAATGTATTTATGTGTAATTATAGTGGAGATCTGAAAGACGGGAATTAGACCAGGGAACCGGCTGAGTGAAAGACACATTTTGTTGATGTTTTGATGAAAGCATCAAAGTATTGCAATGGTGCTCATTTGAACAGTGCACTTCCTGAAGTGTGTGTGTTAAATTAAATAGGAATACACAGCTTTTTCAACAAACAGATTGAAAAAGGCAGCACATCCATCAGTGTTAGAGGGGCCTTTTTTCTCTCTGGGACTCATTTCCTACAACAAGCCACAAAAAAGGATCTTAGTCTGATGCTGTCTAAGTACTTCCATTTGATTATTCATGACTGCTCATAAAAGTGACATTCACTAATTAAACAAAGATCGACTGAATTCTCTGTTTTTTTCCTAGGCATTTACCAAGGTCTGAAAACAAAGACGGTCAACATCATAAAAAAGGAATCAAATATGATGGCCTCTTTTGGTTCACTTTCCCAGAGTGCTTGTATTTCACCAACATCCGTACTTTGTATGGTTTAAAACACTGATTAATGATATCGATGCTCCATCTAAATTGCAGCTAAATATATTCAAGATGCTCAATAACTTTTTTTCTTGCTAGTATTTATATTTGAAGGCCTAAATTCAGATTCATGGATTGTGAGGCCATCTATTTATTGATCTCTGTAAATGAGCTAGCCAAAACCTAACTAACCCTAACCCTGACTAATCAGACAAAACCTAGGGCTAATATTTGTTAAGAAATCTGATGGTCTAACACAGTTATGGGAAATAAAATCAGGCTATGTTTAAAAGCGCAAACGAGGAAAACATACATCCAGTTTTTTTCGGCTGCTTTAGATTATTGGTTGTTTTTGACACTCTAAACACCCCATTTAACCCAGGGTTCAACACTTTCTGAAATTGCTATTATATAGTATATAAGAAACAGTACTGTATGAAAGACTAGTCCTTGGTCTGAATTCATAGCAATAAAAAATATACTTTTTAAATGATCGTTAAGTAAGTTCAAATGCAAATGTAGTCCCTAGAATTTCAGAAAAAGCTGTCATGTTTATATTGTTCACAGTAAGCATTAATTATCAATGGATTCTTAAAGTCTGCATGATCATATAGATCAGGGATCCCCAAACTTGTTCCTGGAGGTACGGTGTCCTGCAGATTTTAGCTCCAACCCTGATTAAACACACCTGAACAAGCTAATCAAGGTCTTACTAGGTATACTTGAAACACCCAGGCAGGTGTGTTGAGGCAAGTTGAAGCTAAACCCTGCAGGGCACCGGACCTCCAGGAACGAGATTGGTGACCCCTGATATAGATGGTAATAATTTTTCCCCATTCAGTTTCTGATGTCAATCTGGCTGTCAGGCTATGCAGTTTTGTACATATTAGAGTGCTTCCACCCTAGCACTTTTGGTCCACACCAGGCTTCATTTGACGTCTGAGTTTGGTACATTTAGCTTGTGTGAACGATATCTTCTAAACTCGGGTGCGCACTTGGCAAAATGTACCCGAATCTGCCTGAAAGAGGTGATCTGGCATATGATTCGCATGCACTCTGGTCTGGTTCACTTCTGACATGAATGTAGTCATAGCAAATAATGCAAAAACAGCCAACTGTACAACAAACCTTTCATTTACAATCCTTTGTGTGTGTGTCTGCGTATCACCTGCGGACATTGCGTTATGATAATTTTCTAACTTTGCGTTTCTGATCATTTTTTATATTTTTGCCACAGATAGATGCTGGTGGCTCTCTGTATGAATCTCTAAAAAGATTCATTAATTCATTTTCTGACGCTTTTCCGGGGCCAGGTAGTGGGGGCAGCAGTCTTAGAGAACCCCAGACTTCCCTTTCCCCAGACACTTCCTCCAGCTCCTTCGGGGGATCCCGAGGTGTTCCCAGGCCAGCCAAGAAACATAGTCCCTCCAGGGTGTCCTGGGTCTTCCCTGAGGGCTTCTCCAGGTGGGACATGCCTGGAACACCTCTCTAGGTAGGCGTAC